ATACAATATATATACAAAATATACGTATATATAAAAGATATATTTCAACTTCTATTATAAATAAGTAGTGATCGTTGCTTATAAAATGTAGTTGTGGTATATTTAATTATTACACATTAACATGACATTTTCTAACCTTACAAATTTGATGTTCAATAGTTATGATTTTTAATTCATAAATTGTTATGGCTTTTATGTATCTTCATTTTATGCATACATATTTTACATATATGACATATATATATGCGCGTACGCATATAGGCGGATATATATATATGTATATCATTGTTCTGTTTTAATTAAATACATTGATCTATGTATAATGTTTATACGTACAATGCGCTTTGGTACATCGTATATTGTAAGCGAGAAATCTATAATAGTTAAAGTGTATCAATTGGCACTAAATTATGATAGACAAATTATGGATTATGTTCTTTTATTATGTGTCCGGTGTATGTTCTTGATTGTCAAGAGTTAATTCTACAGATATTCCTATACATATACATGAAGCATGTAATATTAAAATTCTTGATAAATTTTGTTATTATTATAAATTTTATTATATTATTGACTATATAAATTTTATTATATTTAATATTGTGATGATTTTAAATCTCTGAATCCAAGCAACCACCTGGATAATAGACTGGTCACATCGTACTCATCGATTTTTTCGTACGACTTCACCGTTCTCTTTTGAATTCAGTTATGCTATGTTGTGCTATGCTATGCTTGGGACTATTGAGTATTGTTCTACAAATAAAGAATATCCCAGGTGTATTGAAGCGGAATTTTTGGTTTCAGGATGTACATCTTGTTATTGACTGTTCGATCAGATTGTTTCGAAGCTGGTAGAACCATTCCCTCTTGATAGCTCCAAGGAACATGCTCTCCTCATGCGAGGCTTGATTGTTAATCTTGCGTGTACTCTGTTTCTGAAAAAGGAAAAATGAATACATTCAGTATAAATATGATAAGTAAAAGCGAAACGGATCAATTCCGTTAGCGATAACATTAATAATTATACGAATAATACAAGCGATAATTGCGAAAATTGCGAAAACATAGCGAATATAAACAATAATTCAATAGTAGAAAATAATTTCAATAATTCCGATAAGTTATCATACATTCTACCATTATTACGAACATTTAACTGCTCTCGAGAAACAGCATATTATTAAATTAGTAAGAACACATAGCGATAGATTTTATATCTCTAACAAGTATCTCGACAAAATGCATGTACAAACTCACAAAATTATTACTACAGATAACCTACCAATTCAACATAAGCAATATAGGGTAGACTCTTTTAGTCAATACACGCGAATATCTCTAAAAGGGGAAATTTTTTTTTAATATTTCAGACAAAAATTTTATGGTTTCAAGGGAGAAAAAAGACGGTGATCTTGGTTCACCTTGATAAGAAGTCCTTAAGATTTATGTTACGTAAAATTTTTTAAATCAAACTCTCCATTTTTTATTGCGAATTCTTGTAGCTTATTTCAAAAAAGCTTTCCAAGACAATATAATAAAGAATTTTTTCGTTAGGTACATTTCGAATTTTAAGGTTCGAAAGTTACAGTACTGCCGGCATTTGCATTACGCAAGGTGTCCGGCTAGAACCTTTTGAATGTTGTTCAGGATCACATTTGTTATCCGTCCTGGATAATATTTGTTAAGATCAAGATTGTTGGTGATTGTTTCTCTGTTTTCATTTTTGCACTTTGAAAATTCATTTTAATAAATTTAAATTTCCACTAAAAACTTGATGATATACTTTATTAATTAATCTAATCATTACTAATATTACATAATACATTTATATAACTAATATATAACTAATTACTCGACACTACGTAATATATTTTTAACCTAAATTGTAAAATGAAAAATAATTCTCAAGTCTTAGCGTTTTCTATTCTTTAGATCTGTTTAATAATAATAATAACAACTTTGTGCAACTATTTACAAGTAGTAAAAAATAAAATCATGATAATAAATAAAAACGACAGATGCATGTAAAAGACGTGACAGCAGGTAAAAGGCTGATTAGAAACTAAGTAAATTATAATAACCGTAAATAAGAGTAGAATAATACATATATTTAATCATGTGGTATTGATTTGAAACATAGTAAAATATAATTACAATAGAGATAGAGAGTATACATGAATCAGATATATAATGATTAAATAATGAAATGGATAACAATATAAAATAGTATGCGATTATTCTTCCGAAAGAGCAACTTATTTTAAAAGAATTAAGTTATGATGAGAAACGAGACTTCTTTTAAAAAATAAATAAATTTTGTCTAATACCATTTTATACTACTTCATGCTATTTTATATTGTTATTCATTTCATTATTTAATCATTATGTATCTAATTCATGTATACTCTCTATCTCTATTGTAATTAAATAAAGATAAACTTATAACGGCTGTTAATAATAATAAACAAAAATGAATTTAATTGTAATTACGTCTGTATTGATTTCCGTTTGTCTTGGTATTGTTATCACTTCTCCAGTGGAAGACAGAATAAAAATAATCCAGAAAAATCATGAATCTGCAGCAGGCAGTCACAAGAGCATCACGATAACATATCTGCAAATTAAACAATAATATGCATGGAGTAATATGAAGACACAAATTCAAGATTATTCGACAATGCCGTACCTAATTCGTGAGACATTAATGTATCAGTCGCATCATAATGACACGCATCCTCGAAACGCCACAAGAGACACCAAGGTCGACTGCAACAAATCCAATATACTACTTCAATGGATGATGGTATACATTAGCACCAAACATAGTATCTATAAATGTGCCGAAGACACCCAGAACCTTGCAAATCAATTGTTCATATTAAATTCATCTGAAAGACAAAGTTCAAACTGAATTCGCCTCAATGTCGGAATGATTGACAACTTATTCTAGAAACCTTTATTTATTTCAACTTGCGATTCATCTGCATGCCAAAGTCTTACAACTCAGAAATGGGATATTACAATTGGTTTTGGATTAATTTCCTATTGATCATCTTTCGGAATCATTAATGGAATTGCAGAATCGGACGCTTTGTCATTAACATTGTCATTCGTTAGCTGTCTTGATTTGGAATTACGAAAAAGTCTGCCATTATATATACCGATTTCATAAAGAAGAGATCAATTGAAGGTTAGCAAACAATTCAGCATTACACATTAAATCGCCTTTTCGGAGCAATTTTGTCTTGGACATCACACTATTTTTTTCTGTTTATATCAGGGTTTGGCAAGATTTGCACTTCTCGGCCGATTTTCGACTTGGTTCTGCTTCCCCTTCCGCTATTCCTCTCTCTTCTCACCCAGCGCGGGTACTGAATTTGCTTTTCGTCAGTGATGCGAATTCCGGCCACTACAAGTCCATATCCGTATATACTTGTGCATGCGTGTGTCCGTCTATGCTCTCTTCATGTTAATAATCGTGTTGCAAGCGGTCCGGAATTCGCATCACTGCTTTTCGCACGAACTTTGAATGATGCTTAGTCATAGTATATATGTATACATGATAGCATAATATATTGTATATATTAGGTGTAGTAAAAAGAAATCCATTATTTTTCCAATAGATGGCTTTAGTTTAATCTGTATCTCGTCTACGCGTGATACAGATTACTAAAGCCATCTATTGGAAAAAATAAATGGATAACCTAACCTAATATATACACGATAGTATAGTATATACAGGGTGTCATGAATATACGGCCCCACTTGTCCCGAGCAGGTAGAAACATCTTTTAAACGTCTTTTAAATGTTTTTTGTAAGTATCTTTAAGACGATTTTGAGATGACTTTCAATTTTATAAAATGTTCTATATCCTGATTTTGAACTTATATTATTTGAAAACATTCTTACAACCTATAAATCCCTTTAATACAATGCATATATATAAAAAGAAGAGCATAAAAAACCACTACACAAGTTATAGTTTATGATATTTAATTATCATTACATTAATTAAAATATTAGACGTTTCGGCCACAATCATCTGGCCATCCTTAGTCAATTCAATATTCTTAAAATGCAGAGTTACATATAGCTGACAATTCAAATATAAAGAAGTTATTAATAAAAAATTTAATGTTATCCAACGTTATTATTCGATAAGATATATTAACCGGTAAGAATCAGTTGTAGCCATTTTCCAAATAGTGATAAGAAACTGTTTTTGTGGAAAAATTATTTGTAAACCTAGATAGTTTCTTTGCAATTTACGATCAATTATTGAGAGTACGAACTCAAACATTTCTCTGGATATTTTATGAAAAATATAAACTAAAATTATAAATGCAGAAAAAACTTTTTACTATAAATAACTAAATCAAAATAATTTTCATCATACTGCAAAATATATAAAATGTGAAAATTGTATAATATAAGTTGAGTAAGTATATTGAAATTAAACAAAAACGGATTATTCATTATTACCTGAAATATGATTTAAATTGTTTATCTCTCCAACTAGGAATAACTTCTTCTACATAATTTTTCAGCCTTAGAACTTTCCTCCGACGAGCTGTTACCAAATTATTAAGTATATCCAATTCTTCCTCGCTATCAGATGATGTTGATGATGATGATTCTATTAATTCGTTTAAAACACAAGCGATAAGATTTAATATGCGATTTTTGTTCATTTCGTTTGCACTAACGTTGGCCATGTTGAGTGTACGTTAATATTACTTTCTGTGTAAAGCATTTGCGAAGCTTATCAATACTATCATGATATTGATTCTCCAAACGGAGTTTGTAGCGTATGCGTCTGTAGCGTTTATAGCGTATTCTCGAATGCACTCTTACAGCGGAATATTGAATGTATCGAATGTAAAACTATCTAAGTTTATTTTAAGAGTATAAAATCAAAGTTTTTAAAAGTTCAGAAAGCATTGTTGACATTTTTTTCGCGAAAAAATAAGCAATAGGCTACTTCCATATTCCTTCTAAAAATATTATTATAATAAAAATACTATAACTTCTTGAATTTCTATCTTTTTTCTCTTTCCATCTGACATGTTATTGCCATATTCATTAAATTCATTATAGCTATGATTATGCTCATTCCATTAAATGGCACGTTTAAGTGTTATATATTCAAATATCAGTGAACAATCTTTGTTCTCATCTTTCAATTTACTAAGAGCTTGTAAAACATTTAACTGAAATCCAGGTTTCGCGTCTACGTTAGATATCCAATTCCGCGTGGATGATGGATGCGGCAACGCAAAGATACTTCTACAGACAAATATAAAAAATTATCAGTATGTCATGTAACATTAATAAATAATAAATAAATAAAAATTAGGTAAAGTAGATGAAAATTTGTCTAGTGTCAATAACAAATTATTAAAAGTTTTTTTATGAGCTTCTAAGTTCAACACAACATTCGATTTCTTATCAATTTTAATTAATCTCAGAATAATTTTCAACTGTGTGATTTACAAATAATTTTCAAGATAAAAAAATGAAATTATGTAAAATACAACACGCAAGAATAATTATTAGATGTACAAATAAATTTTAGAGCGTTTTTAATGAAATTTAATATTTATTTATTTAGAAACGAAAACATACTTAATTATCAAAATAATCTCCATCATTATTACATACACGGTTTCTAATAAGTTTTCTAATGCCCGCATAGTCAGGCCTTATATTTAAGGCTTCCTTAAATTTATCTTTAGATGCTCTACGAATTATGTCATTGGCTACTGAGCATCTAAAGATAAATTTAAGGAAATTTTAAGACAAAGTCTGACTATGAATACGGGCTTAGTACAAGCCGTGGTAAAATGAGGTCCGAAATTTTATAGTGGTTTAGCGCATGAGTCGCGTTATACATCGAAAGAATGCAATATGGATATGTCCTGCGGCAGTCGTGTACGCTTGGGATAAACATGATCTTCTCGATATGAGATTAATATAATTTTCAAATTGTATCAATTACATTGCTAGCAAAGTGTGCCTTCTCAACTTGTTTCAGTACACAAAACATAGGGTACACAAGAGTTAGGTTTTTTCCAGTAAGAATCATTATTTAATTTTGCAGAAATGAAAAGTATGCTTTTATTGTTAGCATTGTTCGTTTTATCTCTCGAAGCAATCTTTGATTCATTGATCATTTCGTAAAATTCTTCCTTCTAAATTGATCAATAAAGCATTGAATGGATCATGTCTAAGTACGCTGAATTCATTCGGAACAACAACGAGCAGCTTCTGACAGAAAAGAAATACTATTATGAAATTATTTTAACTGATAAATTAAAATACTACATATAAAAAAACCTGATAAATAAAAAGACTACTATTTAAATTTCCATGGATCAGAGCTATGTGCATAATGGATAACAGAGAAAATAGAGAAAATTGGACCATCACTGTACAGAAAAATTTGTGAATTACATTTCGAAATTAATGATTTCTACAATATATAAAAAAAAAAAAAAAAAGATTAAAATCTAATGCAGTAAATCTGTTATAGTAGTATCTGATAGTGTAGGTGCATTTGAACTAGGTGTGTATATAATATTCAAATTACTTTCTGTAAGTAATTGTGACTAATAATTTGTCTTTATGACTAATAATTTGTTAATTATTATACATTATTTGACAAAGATTCAGGTCATACGTATTTTATTTCTCCTTCGGTTTGCTCTTCTACAATAGTATTTGACAGCAATGAAACATCAGAAATATAAAAAGGTAACATTATATTAAATATTCAAAACTTTCAATTATAATTCGTTAATTTAATAAATTTATATTTAAATTATGATTCATAGACTTTTAAATTAAATATAAGTTATTTCTTCTCTATAATTTCTATTTTTAATAACTTACACAATTTTCAGTTTCACATATTTTTTACACATATTTCAGTTTCAATAAACGAATCATAAACAACAAAACGTAAAATAATAGAAACTTCAGAGGAGCAAATAAAAAGTATCTAAAATTAGAAAAAGAAAATGCTCAATTGAAAGCAATGATTGTTTTCTTAGAAGAAAAAGTTGAAACAAAACTGAAAAAGCAAGCATCATTTCATGAAAGTTTAATGGCAAAAGAACAGAGTACTTAGAAAAAAAATTGAATATGGAAAAGAAAAAATTAATTATGGCAAAGAAAAATAATTAAAACACGAAGAAAACAAAAGCTAAAGAAAAAAAGGGACAGTCAGTACTAAAATAAAAAATAAAGCTGCAATTAAAAAAGTATCTGATTTCGATTTGGATAATATGTTTTCTGATATTAATGAAAATGAAAAAAGAAATTATTTAAAAAAACCAGGTGACCTGCGATATACAGAAAAATTAAAGAGATTTGCTCTTACTTTACATTATCTTTCTTTAAGGACATATGGTTATTATAGGTTAGCATGCATAACAGATACTAATGATCCAATACTATTTCATACTTTTTCATGGGTCATCTTATCCGATATAAGATTATGCTCTTGAAGACGATATTCTTCTATCAATAAAAGGGTTGCTTCATGAGACCACTTAAAAAATGACTCATTCTCATTCTCTGCAGTAACTAAAGTAGTTGCTGTTTCACATTCTTGTTTCTGGGCATTTTCCAAGTAGGCGAGAGACAAATATTAGGTCTGAAACAAAGGCAAATAATATTTTGTACACATTAAAGATATTATAATTTATGGCATTTTTATTTTAATTTTCATGGTATTATTTTGCCTACAACTTATACTTGATCATAATAACGTGGTAAACAGCATACTTATAAAACCTATATTCTCTAATTATTTACCATTTTTTGCATGTGCGTCGTCTTCCGGAAATACTTTGAGGCAGTATTTTATTCCTACTTCATCTATCAGATTTAATTCACAATTTTCACGTATTTGCATTATATAAATTACATAGCAAGAAAATTTGTATAAATTATTCAAGCATTGATGACCCTGGTTTTATTATCTGATTTTCTGTACTTTAGAACATAAATGAATTTTAAAGCGTTCAAAGAGAGAATAAGTGCCCATCAAAATTGATTTCGTGCCTTGAAAATAATAACGCGAAATAGCACGAATGATGACATCACGGCGCAAAAATTTGATTGGCTAAAGGCATTCTCTTTCTTTCTCCTCTCTCTCTTTTTCTCTTTGGTACATTGCATACAATTTTCTATTAACCTCTATATAATTTGTGCTATCATAAGTCGCAATGTCAAACATTTCTTAATATAATTTTACTACATCATTATTTTTATATTTCTCATTTATGCCTTCATTGATATTTGTTTTTCTTGTTAGTAATAAAGTAGACCTGTAACATATTTAAAATAGATAGAAAAGTATACACACATACACACACACACACACACACACACACACACACACACACATATATATATATATATAAATGCACTTACGCATATATATGTATTTTAATAATATATATGTATTTTTTATATATGTATGTATATGTATATATATATATATATATATAAAATATACGTATATAAAAGATATATTTCAATTTCTATTATAAATAAGTAGTGATCATTGCTTATAAAATGTAATTGTGACATATTTAATTATTACACATTAACATGACATTTTCTAACCTTACAAATTTGATGTTCAATAGTTATGATTTTTAATTAACATATATATGTATCTTCATTTTATGCATATAATTTATACATCAAAAGTGTCTTGTCCATATACTTACCATTTTACAATCGATTTTCGAAAGGAAGAAAATTATACTGTTGGGATTATGGGAACGCTCCAAATTTTATCTTATACTAGAACATTTTCTATTCTTTATCGACACGCTTATGGCTCCTGCACACTGGATGCGGAAACGCTTGCCGCGCTGCAAAATGATATGCGGTAAATAATGAACACATTAGGAGTTAGTAAGCTTATTGGCTACCTCATCACATTTTGCTGCGCGGCAAAAGTTTCCGCTTCCATTGTGCAGAAATCATTACACTCGTCAGTTCTGACTTGCACTAGTTCGGTTAAGTTCAATTCTAGTGCAGTCTCAATGCAGGAACAGAAAACAAATCTATTGGCTCCTACACACTGGACACGGAAACGCTTGCCGCGCGACAAAATAAGACGCGGTAACCAATGAACATATTAGAAGCTGTAAGCTTATTGACTATCGCATCACATTTTGCGCACGTGTAGGAGCCATAAGATTCCTGTACATGATTTTTATGCATGATTTCAAGCTTGTTTCCTTGCATGCATCAATCAAATGAGTGAAAATGGTCACGTAATCGGGCAGACAATTAACAGCATCTTCAGAATAGAAACAATGGTGCTAATTTCGTAGCTATCTCTCAAAGATCAGATTTCAAGTTAAAAAATGTCGTAATAAAGACCAAATAATAATATTAATAGAGACGTATAAAAACGAATCTACATTATATGCCATTAAAAATCCAAATTGTCACAATAAGCATTTACGCAACGAAATTCTAAAATGAGTAAATAATGAACAAAAAGTTGCGCCATGAGAATTCACAATTTGCCTTTATCCATTGTAACTTTTTTATGTACAACAATACAGAATTATGTTATATTATTATAACTATATGTTATATTATATATTATAATGTTATATTATTATAACTCAAACAGTATAAAAATCAGGATATAAAACATCTTTTAAACGTCTTTTAAATGTCTTTCATAAAGTATCTTTAAGACGTTTTAGAGATGACTTTCAATTTTTTTAAATGTTATATCCTTGGATTTCGGACTTATATTATTTGAAAACCTTATTTTTATAATCCATAAATCCCTTTAATACAATGCATATGTACTATATGACAATGTCTTCCTCTCAGTGTATGTTTAAATGTAATATTAATATTAATTTTATTTTTATATTAATATAATATATGCGAAATATATGAATATATGTAACTTGCGTATATTTTCAATATGATGTAAGATTGATATGTAAACAATATAAACAAAGTATAAGAAAACTGATATATAAATCAAAATATTTACTGTTTTCGTTGATGAATAAATGATTATAATAAAAGGTACAAAATGTTTGCTTGTTTAAACAGTAAAATTAATCAAACCCTCGAAAGTTAATTGAATGTATCTAATCTATATAAATCTTATTGGAAGTCTTTCAGAAATTAAATCTTGTTTTATCACACCTGTTGGTACATTTTGCAACTTCTCGAAATATATCATTTTCTATTTCATCACCTAATTGAGGAACGTTTAAATCACCTTTCATTATACAAATATTATGCATGACACAACAGGCAAGGTGCAATTAAAACGTGCAATTAAGTCAATCTTATTCATAGGAAAACATTGTAATAAACTTCGAAATCGATTTTTTAAAAGACCAATGACTCTTTCAATACTAATTCGCGCTGAAGAATGACAGAAATTATAATTTTTTTGTCGTTCAGACAAGTGGTCATCATCGCGATAAGGAATCATTAAATTGTCATGAAGTTTATATGCAGACTCACCATCTAAATGACAATCATCAGGAAATTTTGTCGAATCACCCAATTTATCTTGGATTTCTGAAAATGTCGAAAGACACGCTGGTCATGTACAGAACCAGCATGTCCAACATAGTGAATGAAATGAGCCTTATGATCACAAATTACCTGTAAGATATAGAATATACATAAATAAACATATTATCAGATGAAATAATTTTTCTTCTTGAAAGTGCACGTTACAAATCTGTAGTTGAATAGAATAGTAACCTTTCCGATTGATACAGGCTTCTTGATATGAGGAATCTTGATGTGAGTACCGTCTATAACTTTTGGAGAAGAATTATTTGCTTCAATTCCTGTCCAAATTTCTGTAACATCATTTCCTGTTGGACTTAATAAATGTTACTATCAAATTTGCTAGAATTTTGGTAACTCTTCGTGTTGTTAGTAACACTGTTGATGGACTGACATTAAATTTTTCGCATATTGGATCTAATATATAAAAAAGTTATTAATAAAAAATTTAATGTTATCCAATGTTATCTTATTATTCGATAAGATATTAACCGGTAAGAATCAGGAGTAGCCATTTTCCAAATAGTGATAAGAAACTGTTTTTGTGGAAAAATCATTTGTAAACTTGGATAGTTTCTTTGCAATTTATGATCAATTATTGAGAGTACAAACTCAAACGTTTTCTCTGGATATTCTATGAAAAATATAAACTAAAATTATAAATGCAAAAAAATTTTTTACTATAAATAAGTAAATAGGAGTAAATAGGAGGAAACCTCTTTGTTTCTTCTGTGTATCACCATCTGGTTTTTTTAAATTTCTTTTTACATTTTTATTAATTTTCTCTGTTTACCGCTATTACCCATTATGAACATAGGTCTGATTTATTTAATGGAAATCTAAATAGTAGTTACTATACTTTTTAGTTTATCAGGTTTTTTATATTTAGTATTTTAAATTAGTTTGTCAATTAAAATAATTTTGTAATAGTATTATTTCTTTTTTCTCGGGAGCTGCTCGTTGTCGCTCTGAATGAACTCAGCGTACTTAGATATGATCCATTAATGCTTCGTTGATCAATTTAGAAGGAAGAATATTACGAAATGATCAGTCAAAGAATGCTTCGAGAGACAAAACGAGCAATGCTAACAATGAAAGTATACTTCTTATTTCTGCAATTAAATAATAATTCTTACTGGAAAAAATATAGCTTGTCTATGCTTTATGTGCAAACTATACTGGAACAACATGCCTACTACTTACATGTCTACTAGACATTGGAACAAGTTGAGAAGGCACATTTTGTTGGCAATGTAATTGATACAATTTGAAAATTATATTAATCTCACATCATGTTTATCACAAACGTACACAGCTGCTGGACATATCCATATTACATTCCTTCGATGTATATCGCGACGCATGCGCAAAACCACTATAAAATTTCGGACCCCATTTTACCACGGCTTGTACTAAACTATATTTGTATTCAATGGGTGCTTTCCATTTGTCGATACAAGTCGACACAAGCGTCGTTCTATCTTTGTCACTTTCTGAATATCAATAAGGATAGTACAACGCTTGTGTCGACTTGTGTCATCAAATGGAAAGTACCTATCAGTCAGATCTTGTACTTAAGGCTTAAATATAAGGTCTGACTATGCGGGCATTAGAGCCTCCACACAATAAAAGAAACAGGGAACAGAGAACAGAAGATAAGAATTTCAACCTATTAGAAACTGTGTATTCCACAATATATAACTTTTGATAGATTGAAATCCTTATTCTCTGTTCTCCGTTCTTTGTTCCTTTTATTGTGCGGAGCCCCTTAACAGTCTAACAGTATATATAGAAGTCTGTGGTTAGGATATACGAACACGATAGTGTAGTACCAACATTAAGTAAACATTAAATAAACATTAAAAATAATAAACGTTATTTATATTTGTAAACAATATGAAAAAAGGAGCATAAAAATCCCAACGCAATACGTTATAAACGTATAAACAATATATCATATTATATATAAAAAATTTTTTAAATTATAAAAAATATACATTTTGGCCACTTTCTGGCCATTCTCAGTATGTCATGTAATGTAAAATTAACAAATAATAAATAAATAAAAATTACGTAAAGTAGGTGAAAATTTTTCTAGTGTCAATAACAAATTATTGAAAGTTTTTTCATGAGCCTCTCAGCTCAACACAACGCTCGATTTCTTGTTAATTTTAATTTGAAACTATACATTAACGCAAATCTGCCTTACTTCTGTATTGAGTGGACACACAATTTCCAGATTCTAATAACAAGATGACATAATATTACTGAACTATAATTGATGATAATTAAAAAATATTAGTCAAAGGCATACCTATGTTCATTGCAAGACCGTTAATACTTCGATAATCATTATTGTTGAAAGCGTTGAAAGCCAAAAATTTGGTTTAAACAAGCAAAGCAACACAGAGAGGTTGTCAAATGTGTATCTTCCTCTACTGAATAAGGAATCCTTATTTATTCCCACTCCTTAATTTTTCCATTTTCTAACTTAATATATAAACCGAAATACGACTGATAACTTATAGACGAAGTACTCACTTAATTAAATAATCTCTGTTCTTGTCACACTTTCAACAATAACGACTATCAAAGTATTAACGGACTTGCAATGAGCATAGAGGTATGATTCTGACATAATTTTTAATTATCATCAATTATAGTTTAGTAACATTATTAGAATCTGGAAATTGTGTGTTCATTCAATCGAGAAGTAAGGCGGGGAGATTTGCGCTAATATATATAGTAGTTTCGAATTAAAATTAACAAGAAATCGAACGTTGCGTTACGATAGAATCATACATTTTATTAAATGAAATGCATGCATGCAGTCATACCTGCTCCGATGCATGCTAGAATACATTCATACATTGATCGGTGCATACTGACATCCATGATTTCTGTACATGATTTTTATGCAAGATTTCGAACTTGTTTCATTTCATGCACCAATCAAAAGATTGAAAATGGTCACGTAATCGGACGACCGACAGCATCTTCAGAATAGAAACAATTGTGCTAATTTCGTAGTTATCTATCAAATGTCAGATTTCAAGCTAAAAAATGTTTAAAAAAAGAGATGGACAAACATCGGTGCAAAGAGGAAACTATTAATAAAAGAAATGTGAGAAAGAATGCTCTTATTGCGAAATGATAACATTTGTACAATTTAAGTAGTTGGAACTTCAATGTGTATATCTTCAAAATAAGTAATAAAAAAAGTAATAAATAATTTTAACTGTTTATAATTATATAATTATTAATTGTTTATCTTATTTATTATTTTATTTTTTAATTATTATCTATTTCTATTAAATTATATTTTTTTATTTTTATTCAATTATTATTTATTTATATATTTTTATTAATTATTTATTTTAGAATTATTTTATTTTATTATTTTATTATTATATTATTACTTATTTAATTACTATTATGCGTGTATATGAGTATTTATTTTTCAAAACTATATTTTCATATTCACAAATTTAATAAGATAATATTCTTTAAAATTTGTAAAAAGAAGAGCATAAAAACCATCACAAGATATTGTTTGTGATATTTAATTATCATTACATTAATAAAACATTAGACGTTTCGGCCACAATCTAGCCATCTTCAGTAAATTCACAATATTCTTAAAACGCAGAAGTACACATAACTGACATTAAATTCAATCGTCGTGTAATTTAACTATGTATAAATGTGTTCTTTCATCATGTAAAGGTGCCTCTATAACAATGTTGCAGCGCCAATTATCAAATTACGAAATATGTAGAACAAGAATTTCCAGATTCTAATTTAACAGTCCAGATTCTAATTAACCTATCATTAATATCTTCTAGTCGAAATATATGAGAATAGAATCGTTACCTGTTTTACAGCAAAAAAAATGAAGAATCTCAAGTACATCTTTTACACAGATGGAAATTTGTTGTGACATTATGTGTTATTATTTGTCATATCATATATGTTACCACTATTTATATATATGTTTCAAAAGTTTAAATTGTTTTAGAATTATTTATTAAGTGAGAGAGAGATCTTTCTTAAGAAAAGGCAGATAAACGTCGGACAACGATTCAGTGTCACTTTGCTTATTGACTACTTATTTGGCATTTAATGTATATCATTTCAGAGATTCTTCTTTTCATTAATGATTGTTCTGTGTCTAAAATTCTATTATCCCAATAATAATATCCCACTAATATTATCCCAATCGAATTCATGCATCTCATTCAACTGGTGATGCGAAACCACTGACATCTCCGAGATGGATCTTCTTATGTCAGCCCTATGTTCTTTTATTCGAGTTTTTAATTTCCTTTTTGTTTGGCCAACATAAGAAGACTCACGATATATTTAGACAATTTATTTTATAAACCACTCCACAATGGTCCTCTTTACGCAAAGGATCTTTTCCAGTTTTCATAAATCTATTCATTTTATTTATAAATTTACGATATTAAAGCCCTGACTATGTGATAGTTTTTTAAATTTACCCGATATTTTACTTAAATATGGTATTAAGAAAAACTTTTTCTTTAAATTAGAATTAGAATCGCTTTCGTTATTGTTGTGATCACCATTTTTATCTAAATTAGTTCTACTTTCTAAAGTTTTAATTCTATTTTTTATTGTTGAAAAGATGAATTTAAAAGGATAACCATTCATTAACAGAATGTGAATTAAGTCAGAGATGTTTTTTTCCTAAAATTTTGAATGGAATAAAAGCAATATTCTATCTAATTGGCCAATGATTACATCCCTTTTATGTACTAACGGATGATTCGAAAAATAATTTAAATATCTCCCTTTTTGGTAGGTTTTTTATAAATATCGAAGATGATTCTTCCTTCTTGTCTCACTAGTTTAACGTCTAAAAAATTAATGCCATTTTCATCGCCAAAGTCTGTGAATCTTAGCCTTTCATGATATGAATTAAACAATTCCAAAACATTCTCCACTTTGTTTTTTTTAAATATTTTTTGATATTATTCAATGCATTCTTTTTTCTTTTTAATTTTTTAATTAAAAGACATGCTTTTTTTGACATTGCCATTAAAACGATATCGGTCATCAGTTTGTCTCCTTCTTTTTCATCTTTAATTTGTTTTATTAATTTGTTTTATTAATTTGTATTATTTGTTTTATAAGATTATAGCTAACTCCTAATATGTTCATTGGTTACCGCGTCTCATTTTGTCGCGCGTTAAGCGTTTCCAATGTAGGAACCAATAGATTTGTTCTCTGCAGTGGGACTGCACTAGAATTGATCTGAATCGAACTAGTGCAAGCCAGAACTGACGAGTGTAATGGCTTCTTTACATTGGACGCGGCAAAATGATGCGGTAGTCAATAAGCTTGCAAGTTCTGTGTTCATTGTTTACTGCGTCTCATTTTGCTGCACGGCAAGCGTTTTCGCGGCCAGTGTGCAGGAGCCATAAGTGTATAGATAAGATATAGAATATGTTCTAGTGTAAGATAAAAACTTTCCAATAATTCCATCAGTACAATTCTCTTCCTTTCGATATGAAAATCGAGTGTAAAACGGTAAGTATATGGACAAGACTACCACTGATCTAAAAGACTTTACAATATATATATTTTAATACATAGCATGGAAAATGCAGTCATACTAGTGATAACCGTCACAATTCATTAGTTAAAAATCGTAACTATTGAGTATCAAATTTGTAAGATTAGAAAATGTTATGCTGTATATATAATGTATAATAATTAATAACATAATACTGAATGTTTTAACGAGCAATAATTTCTGTTTATTCATTTATAACATAAATAATATATATGTATTTTTTATACATGTATTTTATATATATATATATATATATATATATATATATGTGCATGTATATGCTTATGTGTGTGTGTGTGTCTGTGTGTATACTTGTGTTTAATTATATAATTTTGTTATAGAGAATTAACTGAAAGAGTAGGCAGAACGCATAACACAAAACTAATCTCTGGAAACAAGGGAATAATTTGTCAAATGCAGAATAAACAACTATTCACTCGTAAGTTTTATTTTATATATTACATTTTAATAAGATCTTATTAAAAACGTTTGCATATACACTGCTAAAAGAATTAGGGGATTATTTAAAATCAGCGCAAAAAGGAGCAAATTCAAAGTTTTGTTTTTTGTGAAAAATGGTTGCAAAACGATTTTCGAAAAACCATTTTAAAATTTCAAATCTTAACTTTCAACTGCTTCAAATCTTGTATATCTGCAACAATATATATATTTCGCTATAAATTTGGCACTAATTTACTCCTTTTTAACACTGATTTTAAGTTCTCTAGTAATTTTTATAACAATGTTATTGCATTAACATAAAAAGTAGTATATTTAATTGTGTTAATAATGAAACATTCATAAAGGCCTAAATAGTTTTTTTTTATATCACACAGAGCTGTTGTAATCATCTCTTTTAAATATGTTACTACTTTACACTACTGTTAGTACGAATAAGAAACACAAATAAGGAAGGCGTAAACAAGAAATATAAAAATGATACAATAATTATATTAGGAAATGTCTGAAATTGCGACTAATGATAAAGAGGTAAGTAGAAAATTGTACAATGTTTTAGTGAAACAGAAAGGGAGAGAGAGGATGTCTTTATTCAATCAAATCAAATTTTTGGTGTCGATTTTAATCAGACTAAAATTATTTTTTATATTAAATTCTTTACAGATCACAAGCAAAAAAGGGAGCAACGTGGACATGTTCAAAAAAAGTTTAAAAAAGTTTTCAAAGAAAATTTAAAATTAACTAAAATAGATGAAGTGAAAAATGTTATGAACTACAATGGAAAAGCAGAGCAACAAAAAATGACAGTCATATGAAAACTTTGTGAAAGAAACGAGCAATCCATTAAGGCCAATAAATTATGAGAAGATTGCAATAATATTTTGAAAGAATTGATAAATAGCAAAAAAGAATGACGATGAAAAATAAATAATATAAACGAAATATTTTGAAAAAGTATGAAGTATAATAGTATGTATAGTTAAAAGATTTTCGATGTTATTGATTACAAAACATTATTTTAAAAGTTATTCAAGTTTACTAAAAGTTTAGTAACAAAAGTTTAGTAACGAAGTACTTTCGTGTGAAACACTAATATGTTATACATATTGCAATGTATCTGGATTCAATAATTTTTTATTTTAATATTTGTAAAAATAATACTTATAATTATAAGATTTAGGCCTGTTCTTTTTGGCTGAACTTTTGCGCTAGTTCATCTTTCTTCCTTTTCTGCCCAGGAAGAAAGAAGAGGAAGAAAGATGAGCTTGTGTTCACTCAAAAAGAACAGATCTACTGATTACAAAAAATTATTTTAAATATTAGGGGAGTTGAACCCAGATCTCTAGTGTTCTGTGAGAAAAAAATAATCAAAACATTTCCTTATTCAAGAGTAGATGGAATGGAATGAAAGAAAAACGTGCAGTAAACATAACACTTTATATGATTGTGAAAAATCATTTAAATTTTCTATTGAAATAAAGCGAATTGTTATCTAATATAAATTATTTTTGTGTAAAGTGTATAAAATAATTCAAATTAATTATTTGCAATTTTATTAATTATATTATACAAATAATATATATAAAACTTATTATTTGTATAAAATATTATATAAATAAAATATTATATAAATAATAAAAAAAAATTCTCTGGACACAATTAAAATTATCGTTACCAGAGCAAAGTATGGTAGCTAATGTCAAAATATTAAAACATGTTTCATTGATTTTATACTTTTCCTTTGTAAACATATCAATTAATAATTTTTTTTTTAGATCAATGCTGGCTCTACAACTCTCCATAGCGATAGATTCAATTGCAGGTCCCGCAATTCTTTCATACATTTTCAGAGTTGATGATGATCATTGATATATGTTGTAATCAAAATGATATTCATATGGGTTTCATCGTTACCTTTTAATCATACTATATCTCCAAAAGAGATCGTATCCTCCAATTTACTTACCGTATCCTCCAGATACGTTTGTTGCCGCTTACTCCGTTTATCCGAAATCGTAAATTCTGAGGCATCTCATGATCTCGTTCCGAAATATGACGGGCATAAAATTTCAGTGTGGCAATTTGCGCGTGCAAGAAAACAAAAGATTCAATATCTTTAGTTGATGAGGTATTATTCGTGCAAATGCTAAGGAATAAATTCATGCATATCTTGCTATAGAAGACAAGGCTCACCTTACAGTTACTAAATTTTTAGAGATTCTCAAAAGAACATTCGGTCCTAGTAGAAGCGCTGATTATTATCGGATACAGCTTAACATCGCGTACAAAAAACCTAGGAAACTAAACTTAATTGATTATTTAAGGCGAATGAAGAATTTGCGAATAGCTATAGGAGACGATCAAGTAAACCTCGACCTTAATCGATTCTAAAATTTCTTTGATACTCGTCGGATGGCTCGTTATTCCCTGTTGTCTATGCTATTGTGTTTAAGCCTTAACTAGTAAAATTACCATTAAAAAGAGTGTGTTCCAATACAATATACTGCCAGTACTAGCAATACTGGGTATCAATTATTAAACTTTATTCCTAGAATGGAAAGTGGAAACCATTGAAGTTAATGGAGAAATTTTTCACTTTTCATCTTTCATCCTAGGAAAAAGGTTTCATGATTGATACTCTAAAAAATTATTTCGCTATTAGCACGCAACGCGCTGCGACATTTCCCTCAATGACATCATAAATGATAATCATGTTGCCACTGCGACTACTGCGGCTTTCGAGATGAAGCAGTTACAGTGCAAAGGTAAAGAACTCATGGGCGCGTTATTTGACGCGCGCGTTATGGACGTTTGGAACTGGGAGCGTTTGATGCAGTTTTATGCAGTTTTGGTGCTGAAATGGAGACTGGCAGCTTAGACGAGATTCAGGTCAGTAAAAAAGCATAGCGTCGGAAGCATCGTAAGTATTATCATGCGACTTTCCGATAAATATATAAACATATAAACACGCATAAATAGTCATAAATATGTATAATTATGTATGAAATATGTCCATACATGTTTATACATCTTTTTTCTTTTTTAAAATTACTTTTCAGTGTAATAGAAATAATAATAGTAATGTAAAAACATAAAAAATAATTAAAGGGATAATTTTCATATTGTTTGTTAGAGAAAAAAACAAGTTTGGAAAAATGTAAAGAAAAATGTGCGGAAAGTCGCATGATGATGCTTCCAACGCTACGATATGCTCAATGAATGGCCTTTAGGCATTAAGATGTAGCAGTAAGTAAATCAGCCAATCATAATGGTCTACAATAGTTGATTAAGGAGTAGGGGTAGAAATCGGCCAATCATAGTTGATTATTTTTCTCACATTCAACTATGATTGGTCGATTTCTAAGTCTACTCCTTAATCCACTACTGCTAGTGCCCATTGTAAACCATGCATAAATGTGTCGAGGGCTTTATACTTAAGATCACTAAAAATGTATATATTAAATATGTTTTAAAATGTATATAACAAATTTTGTTATATAATAAATTCTAATAGCGTTTTCAGTTCGGGTCTGCATCAACTTAGGTTAGAAAATGCTTCGGTATTGGTTGACGTTATACGCTCTATTAATAGGAGAGCATCGAAACATCACTACTTTAACCTAGGTTAGTGCAAACTCGATCGGGCCGAAAACGCTATAACTTTCTGTTTTTTTTTTCTAATTTTCTGCTTAGTGAACTCTGGAGGTAGAGGTTGTCCCATCCGCCCTCCTCCCTGACCCTGAATCCGCCACTTGGTGTTGTTATTGCACATTAGTTTAGTTGGGCAGTCTTCGTTTTATACTGCATTCTTTATCGAATGAATCAGATATTTAATAGTGGCTGGTTTAGCTTGGAACTCAACAATGGAAATAAATTTTGGACCTAATAATAATTACAACATTTTCGAGTTGTCTGCATCAGTTAGGTAACTATAAAATTTACAATCCACGATACATTCATATTTATTATGTATTTTATAAAATCGTTATGTTTTATAGATGTATCATGAAGTTATTAGATATACATATGTTTCAAGACTCGGAATATAAAATTGGCAATGTGATACATGGAGTTAGGACATACGAACACAATAGTACCAACATTAAGTAAACATTCAAAATTATAAACATGGTTTATACTTGTAAACAATATAAAAAAGGAGCATAAAAACGCAAGTTGTTATTAAAATGTCCAGTGTGCACGAGTCATAAGCATGTAGGTAAGGAATAGAAAATGTTCTAGTGTAAGATAAAAATTGGGGCGTTCCCATAATCCCAACAGTACAATTTTCTTTCTTTCGATACGAAAATCGAGTGTAAAACAGTAAGCATATGTAAGATTACTCTTGATTTAAAAGACTTTACAATGTATATATTTTAATACATAGCATTAAAAATGCAGACATACAAGTGATAACCGTCACAATTTATTAGTTCAAAATCGTAACTATTGAGTATCAAATTTGTAAAGTTAGAAAATGTTATGCTGTATATATAATGTATAATAATAAATAACATAATACTGAATGTTTTAATGAGGAATAATATTTATTTATTATAACTTAAATAATAATATATATGTATTTTTATAATAATTAAACACAAATATACACACACACACACATATATATATACACACACACGCACACACACACATACACATACGCATATACATGCATATATATATATATATATATATATATGCATGTATATGCGTATGTGTATGTGTGTGTGTGCGTGTGTGTGTATATATATATGTGTGTGTGTGTGTATATTTGTGTTTAATTATTATATATAATTTTGTTATAGAGAATTAACTGAAAGAGTAGGCGGAAAGCATAACATAAAACTACTCTGGAAACAAGGGAATAATTTGTCAAATGCAGAATAGACAACTACTCATTCGTAAGTTTTATTTTACATATTACATTTTAATAAGATCTTATTAAAAACGTTTGCATATACACTGATAAAAGAATTAGGGGATTATTTAAAATCAGCGCAAAAAAGGAGCAAAGTTTCAAAGTTTCGTTTTTTGTGAGAAATGGTTGCAGAACGATTTTCAAAAAAGCATTTTAAAATTTCGAATCTTAACTTTCAACTGCTTCAAATTTTGTATATCTGCAACAATTTCGCTATAAATTTGGCACTAATTTACTCCTTTTTAGCTGATTTTAAGTTCTCTAGTAATTTTTTAAACAGTGTTATTGGTAGTATTAACATAAAAAGTAGTATATTTAATTGTGTTAATAATGAAACATTCATAAAGCCCTAAATAGGTTTTTTTTATATCACACAGAGCTGTTGTAATCATCTATTTTAAATATGTTACAGGTCTATTTTGACTGTTAGTGCGAATAAGAAAAACAAATATCATGAAGGCATAAACAAGAAATATAAAAATAATGATACAGTAATTATATCAGCAAATGTCTGAAATTGCGACTAATGATAAAGAGATTAGTAGAAAATTGTACAATGTTTTAATGAAAGAGAAAGAGAGAGAGAGGATGTCTTTATTCAATCAAAACAAATTTTTGATGTCGATTTTAATCTGACTAAAATTATTTTTTATATTAAATTCTTTACAGATCACAAGCAAAAAAGGGAGCAACGTGGACATGTTCAAAAACAGTTTAGAAAATTTAAAATTAACTAAAATAGATGAAGTGAAAAACGTTATGAACTACAATAGAAAATATTAGCAAAGCAACAAAAAATGAGATAATCATATGAAAACTTTGTAAAAGAAACGAGCAATCCATTAAGGCCAATAAATTACGAGAAGATTGCAATAATATTTTGAAAGAATTGATATAAATAACAACACAGAAAGGCGATGAAAAATAAATAATTTAAACAGTATATTTTGAAAAAGTACGAAGTGTAATAGTATGTATAGTTAAAAGATTTTCGATGTTATTGATTACAAAACATTATTTTAAAAGTTATTCAAGTTTACTAAAAGTTTAGTAACAAAAGTTTAGTAACGAAGTACTTTCGTGTGAAACACTAATATGTTATACATATTGCAATGTATCTGGATTCAATAATTTTTTATTTTAATATTTGTAAAAATAATACTTATAATTATAAGATTCGATATTTTTAGGCCTGTTCTTTTTGGCTGAACTTTTGCACTAGTTAATCTTTCTTCCTTTTCTGCCCAGGAAGAAAGAAGAGGAAGAAAGATGAGCTTGTGTTTACCCAAAAAGAATCTACTAATTACAAAAAATTATTTTAAATGTTGGGGGAGTTGAACCCAGATCTCCAGCGTTCTGTGAGAAAAAAATAATCAAAACATTTCCTTATTAAAGAGTAAATGGAATGAAATGAAAGAAAAACGTACAGTAAACATAACACTTTATATGATTAAGAAATCATTTAAATTCTTTATTGAGATAAAGCGAATTGTTATCTAATAAAATATTTTTGTGTAAAGTGTATAAAATAATTCAAATTAATTATTTGCAATTTTATTAATTATATTATACAAATAATATATATAAAACTTATTATTTGTATAAAATATTATATAAATAATAAAAAAAATTCTCTCTGGATACAATTAAAATTATCATTACCAGAGCAAAGTATGATAGCTAATGTCAAAATATTAAAACATATATTTCATTGATTTTATACTTTTCCTTTGTAAACATATCAATTAATAATTTTTTTTTTAGATCAATGCTACTCTCCATAGCGATAGATTCAATTGCAGGTTCCTCAATTCTTTCATACATTTTCAGAGTTGATGATGATCGTTGATATATGTTGTAATCAAAATGATATTCATATGGGTTTCATCATTACCTTTTAATTACTATTACTCTACTACACTACTACACTATTACTCTCTACACTATTACTCTATACTATACCTCCAAAAAAGATCATATCCTCCAATTTACTTCCAGATACGACGTTTGCTGCCGCTTACTCCATTTATCCGAAATCGTACATTGCATCTCATGATCTCGTTCCGAAATGGGATCATATTATGACGGGCATAATATTACAGTGTGGCAATTTGCGCGTGCAAGAAAACAAAAGATTCAATACCTTTAGTTGGTGAGGCATTATTCGTGCAAATGTTAAGGAATAAATTATCGCATCATGCATATTTTGCTATAGAAGACGAAACTCACTTTACTGTTACTAAATTTTTAGAGATTCTCAAAAGAATATTCGGTCCTGGTAGAAGCGCTGATTATTATCGGGTAGAGCTTAGCATCGCGTACAAGAAACCTAGGAAACATATACTTAATTGATTATATAAGGCGAATGAAGAATTTGCGAATAGCTATAGCAGAGGGTGATCAAGTAAATCTCGACCTTAATCGATTCCAAAATTTCTTCTATCGATTCGTATGCTCTCGAAGCATTTTATGAGGATCTCCCTCGCGACTACAGAATCGAATTAAAGACCGAAGAGTACACTAATTTCGCCGATGCTGATTTTACAACATAACGATACACAAACGCCTCGAGAGAGAGGAATCTCAATTAAAAATAGTCGTAACTTACAATGACGAATCCGCTCCTAGTAATACTTAAGTGCCGATAAAAATATTGCGACGCGATGCTCCTGCCAGTGAATCCGCTGCTTCTGCGAACAATCAGGCCACTGCGTCAGATGCTTTTGAGGGCACACGAAAAATTTGCAGCTACTGTAAAAATTTTGAACATTTATTTCATGAATGTAGAAAACGACAATATCGAATTAACAATCCAAATATTGACAATAATAATACTAATAATGGTTATTTACCATTAGGTTATTAGATATAAATTTTATTATATTATTGACTATATAAATTTTATTATATTTAATATTGTGATGATTTTAAATCTCTGAATCCAAGCAACCACCTGGATAATAGACTGGTCACATCGTACTCATCGATTTTTTCGTACGACTTCACCGTTCTCTTTTGAATTCAGTTATGCTATGTTGTGCTATGCTATGCTTGGGACTATTGAGTATTGTTCTACAAATAAAGAATATCCCAGGTGTATTGAAGCGGAATTTTTGGTTTCAGGATGTACATCTTGTTATTGACTGTTCGATCAGATTGTTTCGAAGCTGGTAGAACCATTCCCTCTTGATAGCTCCAAGGAACATGCTCTCCTCATGCGAGGCTTGATTGTTAATCTTGCGTGTACTCTGTTTCTGAAAAAGGAAAAATGAATGCATTTAGTATAAATATGATAAATAAAAGTGTCACCGTGATCAATTCCGTTAGCGATAACATTAATAATTATACGAATAATACAAGCGATAATTGCGAAAATTGCGAAAACATAGCGAATATAAACAATAATTCAATAGTAGAAAATAATTTCAATAATTCCGATAAGTTATCATACATTCTACCATTATTACGAACATTTAACTGCTCTCGAGAAACAGCATATTATTAAATTAGTAAGAACACATAGCGATAGATTTTATATCTCTAACAAGTATCTCGACAAAATGCATGTACAAACTCACAAAATTATTACTACAGATAACCTACCAATTCAACATAAGCAATATAGGGTAGACTCTTTTAGTCAATACACGCGAATATCTCTAAAAGGGGAAATTTTTTTTTAATATTTCAGACAAAAATTTTATGGTTTCAAGGGAGAAAAAAGACGGTGATCTTGGTTCACCTTGATAAGAAGTCCTTAAGATTTATGTTACGTAAAATTTTTTAAATCAAACTCTCCATTTTTTATTGCGAATTCTTGTAGCTTATTTCAAAAAAGCTTTCCAAGACAATATAATAAAGAATTTTTTCGTTAGGTACATTTCGAATTTTAAGGTTCGAAAGTTACAGTACTGCCGGCATTTGCATTACGCAAGGTGTCCGGCTAGAACCTTTTGAATGTTGTTCAGGATCACATTTGTTATCCGTCCTGGATAATATTTGTTAAGATCAAGATTGTTGGTGATTGTTTCTCTGTTTTCATTTTTGCACTTTGAAAATTCATTTTAATAAATTTAAATTTCCACTAAAAACTTGATGATATACTTTATTAATTAATCTAATCATTACTAATATTATATAATACATTTATATAACTAATATATAACTAATTACCCGACACTACGTGATATATTTTTAACCTAAATTGTGAAATGAAAAATAATTCTCAAGTCTTAGCATTTTCTATTCTTTAGATCTGTTTAATAATAATAATAACAACTTTGTGCAACTATTTACAAGTAGTAAAAAATAAAATCATGATAATAAATAAAAACGACAGATGCATGTAAAAGACGTGACAGCAGCTAAAAGGCTGATTAGAAACTAAGTAAATTATAATAACCGTAAATAAGAGTAGAATAATACATATATTTAATCATGTGGTATTGATTTGAAACATAGTAAAATATAATTACAATAGAGAGAGAGAGAGTATACATGAATCAGATACATAATGATTAAATAATGAAATAATGAAATAACAATATAAAATAGTATGCGATTATTCCTCCGAAAGACCAACTTATTTTAAAAGAAGAAGTCTCGTTTCTCATCAGAACTTAAGTCGTTTAAAAGAAGTTGGTCTGTCGGAGGAATAATCGCATACTATTTTATATTGTTATTTCATTATTTCATTATTTAATCATTATGTATCTAATTCATGTATACTCTCTATCTCTATTGTAATTAAATAAAGATAAACTTATAACGGCTGGTAATAATAATAAACAAAAATGAATTTAATTGTAATTACGTCTGTATTGATTTCCGTTTGTCTTGGTATTGTTATCACTTCTCCAGTGGAAGACAGAATAAAAATAATCCAGAAAAATCATGAATCTGCAGCAGGCAGTCACAAGAGCATCACGAAAACATACCTGCAAATTAAACAATAATATGCATGGAGTAATATGAAGACACAAATTCAAGATTATATTCGACAATGCCGTACTTAGTTCGCGAGGCATCAATGTATCAGTCACCAAGGACACGCATCCTCGAAACGCCACAAGAGACACCAAGGTCGACTGCAACAAATGCAATATTGATCATCTTTCGGAATCATTAATGGAATTGCAGAGTCGAACGCTTTGTCATTAACATTGTCATTCATTAGCTGTCTTGACTTGGAATTACGAAAAAGTCTGCCATTATATATGCCGATTTCATAAAGAAGAGATCAATTGAAGGTCAGCAAACAATTCAGTATTACACATTAAATCGCCTTTTCGGAGCAATTTTGTCTTGGATATCACGCCTTTTTTTCTGTTTATATCAGGATTTGGCAAGATTTGCACTTCTCGGCCGATTTTCGACTTGGTTCTGCCTTCCGCTATTCCCCTCTCTTCTCGCCCAGCGCGGGCACCGAATTTGCTTTTCGCGCGAACTTTGAATGATGCTTAGTCGTAGTATATATACATACATAGTATATACATGATTCACATTATTCAAGCATTATTAAGAATTATATAAGCATTTAATTTATAATATTGATTTGTACTCATATTTATGGTCTAAGACTTTTGAAACTTTCTATATCTAATTTGTTATATCTATATGTTTCCAGTGACGGTTATGTTCAAGCATGTATAAGTCAAAGCTTGCACTAATAATAGTAATCTCTGAAAAGTTAATAATTTTCGAATTATGTAATAAATAAGAACTTTTAAAATAATAATAATTTTAAATAATTAATAATATTTAAAATAATAATAATTAATAAGTGTCAAGGTTAATGGAGTCAGCGCAGAAGTTGCATACAGTTATTAATAAATAACAATTACTTCTTCATAATATTGGTGTCTTCTTTATTTCAAAATCTTGAATGTTTTGATTCGCTTTATAATCATCCTCAGCAATATAACAATTAGCAATATAATTCGTCCAAAACGAGTCACTCTCAGACTGTAATGGATTCTGGAACAAAGCACTCAACATATTCATAAGCTTTAAAAAATTTGTTTTAATTTCTAAATGCAATAATTTAATAATAACACGTGTCGTGAAAATGTACAAATTGCAATTATCAAACGTGTATGACCAATGCTTCCAGATGGTTGAAAAATTGAATGGTACATGGTACGGCAAAAAAAGCAGAAGATTTAAAACTTAGGTCGGTATTTATAGTCAAATCTTAGAGAATCCGCACAATAAAAGAAATAAGGAACAGAGAACAAAGAATAAGAATTTCAACCTATCAGAAATCATGCATTATGGAATACACAGTTTCTAATAGGTTGATATTTTTATTCTCTCTGTTCTCTGTTCCTTATTTCTTATTATCCCTATTTTCTTAGGGCAACGACATCCCAAACACAACAGGCACAGGCAACAGGGAATAACGTCCAATCAGAGCTCTGGTATGTAAGTTTGATATTATATCCCAGAGTTCTGATTGGATGACTCGTTATTCCCTGTTGCCTATGCTATTGTGTTTAAGCCTTAACTAGTAAAATTATCTTTAAAAAGAGTGTTCCAATACAATACACTGCCAGTACTAGCAGTACTGGGTATCAATTATTAAACTTTATCCCTAGAATGGAAAGTGGAACCATTGAAGTTAATGGAGAAATTTTTCATTTTTCATCTTTCACCCAGGAAAAAAGTTTCATGATTGATATTCTAAAAAATTATTTCGCTATTAGCACGCAACGCGCTACGACAGCGACTATTTCCCTAAATGACATCATAAATAATAATCATATTGCCACTGCGACTACTGCGGCTTTCGAGATCAGATAGTTACAGTGCAAAGATAAAGAACTCATGGGTTATTATTTGACGCGCGCGTCACGCGTTATAGACGTTTGGAACTGAGAGCGTTTGATGCAGTTTTGGTGCTGAAATAGAGATTAGCAGCTTAGACGAGATTCAGGTCAGTAAAAAGAAAAATAAAAGTAAAAAGAAATTGATATACATATTGTGAAATGAATTATATGCACATGTATGCATGGCTAAAGTAGAGGTTATTTGTATTTTCAAGATCTTGAATATTTTCTGCATACTTCAGACATATTATTGTTATCACTTTAAATTTTTTGTAGAGAATATTCACATGCGATTTATGTGAAGAAATTGTGGGCAGCTTGGAAATAGTAAAGAGCCATTCTTGTCTAATGGGATATGCAAAAGCAATTTTTGATGAAAATCTTTATTTTTATCCTCAAAGCAGTAAGTAAATTTAATTACTATTTTGTGAATAAATATTGCATAATGTTATTAAATATATATATCATATTGTATAGATAATGGAGACATACATTGTACGTCGAAGTGATGTGAATATTTAAGGGAGAATCAGAATGTTACGATCGTATCGCAAGATAGAAAAACGATGGCAAGAAGTCAGCGAAGCAATAAAAGGCACACAACCAAGACATTCAGTTTTCAAATGAGTTACATGAACAATGGTGAAAATTTGGAAGAAATTACTTAGATGAGTGATTTATGTGATAACATGAAAATTTCTATATAATTCTCTTGATGTCGCAGGCTACTTTTTCTAAGCCATTTCTTTCAAACTATTTATCGCTACGTTTACATTGTGAATTTAGGCCGCGACCTATATAATAAATGTTCTTGTTTAGTCCCTGTAAGTTAAACAAAGATACTTATACTTATCGTATAGATCATAGATTAAGCGCACGATGTAAACATAGCTATGTATAATCAAAGCTCTCAGTTTTCTTATGTAGTACACAGACGTAGCTCGAATACACAAGATTATTGTAAATATACAGTACTTATAATTATTAAAATTATAAAAATAAAAAACAACATGATTTTATTTTAAAAGTATACTCTAGTGAAGAGTCCAAAGAAAATGGAAAAATCTCTGTAACCGTTTTATGTGGATTGTTCAGCGGAGAAGCTGCCAAGTGAGGCGACAAGTTAGTCGGAGAAGAATGGTTTTTATGAGTCATTAAACCTTTTGCGTGACACATTATTAAGAAGAGAGTGAATACAAGAAAAACAATTTTTTTAATTTTTAGAAAATATGTTAAAAGCATTGCGAAAATATTTGAATTATTAATTATGAAACCACATATTAATAATTATTACTGTTATTTCAGAACTGTATCGAATATGCCAGTCTGTAACAACAATATGAATATCGAAGACGAAGAAGAAAAAGAGAATCTGCACAAAATGATATCTCTAGTATGTTGCATTTTATGCTCATCATTTTAATTTGTATACATATATCAATATGTATATCTATTATTTTCAGAGAACAGCAAGAAGCAAAGGATAAACAGAAACTCAAACCAAGATAGTATTATTCTGGCACAAATAAGCGAGGCATTACGAGCCGCCGCCGGCAATTTCTTTGCCATCAATTCCAGTAACGAAAGAAGAAGATTTCGGAATGATGATTTCCTCGCAACTTCGTCAATTTCTAAGATTTCAGGAGACAACTAATGTTGAAAATACATAAAATAATGTTATATAAAGAACTAAATAAGGCTGAGCAATAAGTAGAATAAGAAGAAAATATATTATAATTTTTTTATTATTATTTTTTAAAATATATTTTATAATAAAATATTTTATTATAATATGAAGAAATAATATAAAAAGCTTTTAGAGATTTTACAAATGTTTTTTTATTAGAATGTTTTTTAACATAAAATAATCGTTTTTAAAAAAGTTATTAGTAATAATTAGTACGAAGTTATTAGTAATATTAATACAAAGTTATCAGCAATAATGTTAGTATAAAGATTAATGTTTTATATTACTTAATAATAACTTATGACTTAATTATTGATCTCATTGCCATGGTACGGTACTTTTGTTGAAATATTGACAGAAAAGTTCTCTAATTCTGATGGCTTCTCGAGTACTATTATGTGTGCCACAATTGGACACGTCTGTAAAAACATATCTATTTTCTATTATTGTTCTCTGAACCTAGAATGTGCACATCATTTGCTGTTTCCAATAGGTCTGATGTTACATAAAAATCGTTCTTGGAGTCTTTACGAAGCCAGTTATGCAAGCAAATTGTATTTTTAATCATGTTCATGGTTGTGTCTACACTGGCAATAATTGGCTTTCTGTAAATCCTCCATTGACTTGCCAGAATTCCGAAGAAGACGTTTTCGATGATGCATCTGGCACTTAATCGATAATTATAAACATGTTGATCTGCATTTAATGTCTTTTTGCCCCCTCGTGGGTATGGCCGGAGCAAGTATGGTTTAAGCGGAAACGCCTCATCTCCAATAAGGCAATATAGCAGCAATGGTCCTCCAGAAGAAATACATTTTTCTTTAGGAACTTTCATTGTATTGTTTCAAATTTTTGTCAAAGGTGCTATCTTTAAATATGCTTTCATTGCTACGCTGACTATACGCACCAATATCCACGAAGAGAAAATTATAATGCGCATCGCAAATAGTTAGTAAAACAATACTGTGGCTGTTTTCATAGTTATAAAAGTTTGATCCTGCATTGGACACTGAAAGACATAGTTGTGTTTAATTAAAATAAATCACACTTGAATAGATCATTGCAGCAGTGCATTGAAGATAAATACATAATGTACCTGAATTGTAACGTGTTTCCCACCAATTACCTCAATACGGTGTGGAAAATCCCACAAATCATTAAAGTCCTGAGCGATGTTTTCATTCCTGTACATCAAGTAGGCAGAAGAATTAGCGGACACTGTTGATCCCAAATAACTTCATAAGTTGTAATGATGATTTCACTTATAATAATTAAACCCACTAAATATTGAAAACTCATAGAGATCATTGAATCTCTTGATGCAAGATATCTATCTAAAATATAAACACAAAATATCATTGTTTTGTATTATTTTCGAAAACGTTAACTATAATTATATATTTTTTATAATTACATGTACAAGATTTATAAACATATTACCTCAAAGTTAAAGTTAGACATTCCGCTGGATTTATAGGCTCACGTACAACATACATCTCTGCAAATGCGGCCCTACAATTTCTAATAAAGCCTCAAATTGCATAGTAGAATGCGAAAATAGTTTTGAAATCACAAATCTTCCAGTTTCAGTGTTGGGAGTAACGCATGATAAAAACTATATTCATTTCGTTTTTAGTGGATTAGAGGACTAACCCACATACGTTTCTTTTGGCTCTTCCTTGTCTGCCTCCTTTTCATTAAAAAAATGGCCAATACCGCAAGCATTTGCTTACATCGGACATATGTATATTG